CTTTTTTTTTTTTTTAAAGTTTATTTTTACTTATCTGGGTGAGAGAGAGCAAGCAGGGGAGGGACAGAGAGGGAGAGACAGAATCCCAAGCAGGCTCCATACTGTTAGCACGGAGCCCGATGCAGGGCTCGAATTTACAAACTGTGAGATCGTGGCCTGAGCCTGAATCAAGAGCCAGACGCTTAAATGACTGAGTCGTCGGGGCGCCCCGGCCTGAACACCACCTTGAAGGTGCCCACCCTGTGGTATTCAGAAGGCCTCTGGGCAGGGCTGGGTCTCCCCTGGCATCCACCTTCCAAAGCACCCTGGTCAGCCCGGGGCTCTGGAGTCCCTGAGGAACACAGAGTCTGGCACAACCTCCCTGCTGACCTTGCTGACCTTCTATAGAAGGGGTCCCTCAGAGGGGTCAGAGCTCTGGGCTTGACAGAAGCTGGGGCGTGGCACAATACTGACCTACCAGGGTGGAAACCCGGCCACCCTAACCTTGTCAGACAGGAAGGTTCCACAGAAGATGTTCTGCCATCAGAGCATCTCCAGTATCTTCTAGCAGAATACAAACTGTTCTGCCTTTGTCTCCTGGAACACCCTTCCCTGCCCTCTCTGCTTGGAGAAATCCTTCCCACTTCGGAAGTCTGGACCAAATACCACTTCCTCCACGAAGCCCTCCTAGGCTTCTCCCCGAAAGAGACATTCCCTCCCTCCTTTTGGCTCTTCAGTCCTTTGATGGCTCTTACTAGCCCCTTCCGTTGGTTTTTGCCTATAGGGCCAAGGCCATCCCGCTCATCCACCTCTGTGTCCTTACAGAGACAGGCAACCTTGAGGGGCACCTCCACGGCACATGGTCCTGTGCCACTGGTCATCCATCTTCCACAGGCTTCTGCCACCCCCAGAATGGCAGGGGACCCCCCCCCCCATTGCTGGGGTCCCCAAGCTCTCGCATTAGTGAGTGCCCAGAGTGCACACTCCGTAAGGCCCAGCTGACTGGCTTTCCCGAGGGCCTCCTCCGAGGAAGCAGCAGGTGGCTTACCCCCAGCACACTGCTCCAGGGGCCCTGAGGCGAGGCCTCCCACCCTGACACCCCTGGCGGCCATTTCCGGATTCTCTCCTTATGCTCCTTCTCTGGCTCAATTCGCTTACTGACCTGTGGCTCGTTCTGAGTGAGGTGAGAAGTGGAGTGGTGAGCAAGGTGGGGCGGGGGGAGGGGAGGCCTTTGCACACCCCTGCCAGGCCACTCCCTCTTCAGGAGGCCCAAGTCAAAAAGTCCCTGTTCTGTGCTGAGCAGCAGGGAAGCACCTGTCCTAACAAGCTGTGTCCCCCGGCTGCCAATGTCACAACAACAAGGCGGCCTCAAGTAGCTGGCAGATCTCACCCGGACGAAGTGAGCCAAAGCCCAGAGTCACCTGCACATAGTAGGTGCTGCAAACAGAGGTAATTCTCCTTCCCTGGCTGGAAGCCAAGAGTAAGGCAGAGCTGAGAGACACAGGAGACTTAAAAACAAATTTCTTTGTAAGATTTTATTTTTAAGCAATAACTACACCCAACATGGGGCTTGAACCCACAGCCCCGAGATCAAGAGTCACATACTCTCCCAGCCAGGCGCCCCAGCACTGGAGTTTTTACGTGTGAGGCAAGAGACAAGAAAACCAAACCTTCACAAATACTTAAAGGGAAAAACGTCAGCCTGTGAACTTGGAACAAAGGGCCTTCCTCGCTCCGCCTCTGCATCTTCCCCAAAGACACAGATCCCTACCTGGTGCCTGCCACCCGCAGCTTGGTATGAGAAATGCTCCCTAACCAGACAGGCTTGGCTTCACGGCCAACAGCTCGCCATGAAGCCAGAGGCTCTGGGTGATGACCGCAAGCCTCTTCTTCTGCCAAATCTGGGAGAAGACGCCCCCCCGCCCACCGACTGTCCTCTGGGGGTTCCAAAGCCAGGCTTTGCTGGGGCCACACTAAGCGTTTGGCCTGACCATCTTCACCACCAGAGTGCTCCCCACTCAGTCTGGCCCTGACACGTCCCGTGTCCTTGGTCGCACCAGCCCTCCACCCGCACCCCGGCTTTGCTGAGGGATCCCAAGTCCCTCCTGCGTACCTCGCAGATCTTCTCTAGAGACGGAACGAAGAAGTCATCACACACTATGGCCAAGGCGTAGAACATGTACAGAGCCTGAGAAGGAAATGGGGGATCGTCAGCGAAGGCACCTACCGCCAAGGAGGCATGGCTGGGCATCCGTCATGCCCAGAGCCAGCCTGCCAAGGCGGAGGCACACACAGAGGAAGATTCTAGCACCACAGAGGCTGGCTCCCTCAATCCTCTCACGAGCAGATGGGGAAACTGAGCCCAAGGAGGGGAAATAATATGCTGGGCGGCAAAGGGGCCAAAAGCTCAGGCCACACGGCCTTGGGCTCTTTCCTCTGCTCTTAAAGCACCAGCTATCTCCCTGGCACTAGAGTATGGTCTCGAAATGCAAGATCTCACCCTTAGGGCCAAGGAGAGCATTTAGAATCACCCTTTTAAGAGTTTAAAATAATAATTATCCCAATTTTCCCCCTTCATTTTTGCTGAAGGCACCATTTTCTTCTTACCAGCTGGCCACCCCCTGCCGAAACAAGTGGCAATTTGAGAGCCAGCGGTACCTGGGATGCTACCTAATGTTGGCAGAGGTTCAAAGACACAAGCCACTCACACTGGGGGGTTCAAGGCACAAAAAGTCCAGATTCTAATGCTGATTCTGGGACTTAGCTGCCATGTGACTTTGGATAAGTCACATCTCCAGGTCTCCGTTTCTTCATCTGTTTAATGGCAGAGTGAGAACAGATTGACAGTTTTCACACGGTTTTATATACAGAACCCCTCCCTGCCCTGCCCATCCAACATGGTTTTCCCCGAGCCTATCCTATGGGCCAGGCACTATTCCAGGCATCAGGGATACATGGTGAATCTGCCAGGAAATGCCTCTGCCTCCTGCAACTTACCTTAGCGGGGGACAAAGAGACAAAGTCTAACTGTTGGGGAAAGGCAAGTGCAAAGGTCCTGGGGCAGGAGTATGCTTGGTGCACCTGAGGAACAGCAAAGTCACTGATGCAGGTAGAACACAGTGAGACGGTGATGGAAAACAGAGGATGTGAGGTTGGAGGGAAAGGCAAGGACCAGAGAGTCCATGGACAGGTGGGACTTTATGCTAAATACTAAGGGAAGCATTTCTTTCTTCAAAGACAAAGTGATATGGATGCTCTATTCACAAAAATGGGAAAGGCCGGGCTGCTTCAGCAAAAACAATTGTGAAGTTGCTGAAGTAGCACACTGATTAATGGTGATTAAATCAACTGGAAGATCGGCTGTGGCCAAGGCCTCCAAGGCCTTATCTCCTGGAGCCCAGGTATGCTGTCCCTGGATCTAATTATCTTTGGGGGGAAAGCAAAAAGAAACAAATACCGGGGGTATGGGGAAAGGAGAGAGACTCTTCTATAAAAATCTCAGGATACGGACTTGAATTCACCGCCCCCCCCTCATAAATTCTCCCCAACATCATCTCCCAGGCAAAGGGTGATCTGTGGGACCCCAGCTCTCTTGATTCCCTCAGCAATACTCAAGAGAAAAGGAGGCCAAGAAGGCACCACACGGCCCAGGCCAGGAAATTCTGAGAAGCTTCCTAGTGTCGCAGACGACAACTGGCTCCAAAGTTTGAGCCTCTTCTTGCTCTAAAGAAGGGGTCAGCAAAGTTTTTCTTAAACGGCGAATATTTTAGTATTGACAGGCCACGCGGTCTCCATCGCAATGACTCTGCTGCATTAGAAGAGTACACGGAGTGGGTATGGCTGAGTTCCAATAAAACTTGATTCACAAAAACAGGAGGTGGGCTGGATTTGGCCCTCCAGCCACAGTTTGGGAATGTCTGCTCTCCAGGGTTTCTGCAAAATTCCTGAGGTGTTCTCAGGTTCAGGAGAAAAGGCTTTGGGTCAGCAAATGCCAAGACCTTCATGGGGCAGAGCACCAGAACTACGGGACTAATTCGCCAAACCCACACCCTCTCAGTGAAAGGGGAGGGCGCAGGAGAGCCAGGGGAAGTGGGAAGATAATAACTGTCACAGAAATACCCAGGACTGTCATTCAATATACTGGGTGGGGTTTAGCAGCCACAGATAATCCAGAAATGACAGGAATGGCTGTGCCCTGAGAAAACTTTATTTACAAACACGGGCAGCGGCTGCAGGCTGTAGTTCGCCTACTCCCGTCACAGGAGAGCTGACTTTGACCTGTGGCTTAGGTTAGGACCCGCTGTTCCTCTTGGAACTCCACCACTTGTCACCAAGGCACATCTAAATACACCAAGGCGCATCTAAATCTAATTCTCCAGGAATTGGAGAAGTGCACCAAAGTTTTCAATTATAGATTTATGGCAGGGTGGTGAAATTGG